CGCAGGCTTGCAGCAGACTTGCAACCACACTGACTGTCAGAGTGCAAACATTGTTCAACCATACAGTTCTTGCCGACCTTTTCGCCGTTCCCTCACCTTCCTTCTCATCGTGGGAATTGAGTTAACAGCAAGCCAATGTCACAATGTCAGAGTGTGAACCGCTCAGCCGTCCCACTTGGGTGCTGGGTGTGATCCTCCGCAAGGCGCTGTTTTCATTCCGGAAATCGTGTAACTGCTGGATCCGTTTCTCTCACTGGACTTTCATTAACTGCCCCTTTTCCACCCTGAATTCTCTGCCTTTAGAGCCGCCGGGCTTTTACGGATATGACAGCCGCCGGGCTTAAAAACGGAATTCACCCCACTTGAGGCAGGTTTCCCAACCCCCCCCCACCGTGTTCTACTCCCTACCTAATTAGGGTAACGCAGGGAAATGGTACTCGACACACTTGTGTGTCGGTGCCTTTCCCTCTGTTGTCCCTTTCTAGTCTACTCTACCCGGGCGGTTTAGGACTAAAGTCCCGCTCCCTAACTATTGCACTGTAATTCGTTTCTGCTATGCTAAGTAGTCAGTAACCCTAGAGCGCTAAGTATTCAGACACACACATGGACATACACCCCCTCCCTGCCCCCTTTCCTTCTTGCGCTTTTTGTCGTTTGTTGGGCTTTCTCTCAGGCTTTTTAGGTTGTTCTTGAGGCTCGTTTCCCTACCCCAGTCAAGGGCTAAGTATTCATTTTTTATTTGTTCTATGCCTATCTTTCTCTCTTGCCCTCTTAGCGCTGCTCTTTCTGTGTTTCTTTCTTTTGTTTCTAACACTTTTTAGGTATCTATTCAGGCTTTCCACGCACGCGCCGCCAAGCGGCACCGTGTGTGTGTCACTCCCTGTTCCGAAGGGCACTGTCTTTCCCCATTTTGGATTCAGGCAGGGGCGTGTGACACTCTTCTCCTATTACACGCAACGAAGCTGTGGAGAAGAGTGGGAAGGGAAACTTGGCCAGTTTCCTGTACCTGCGAGGCAACCGTTGATCACGCTGTGACTCCAATTTTTCCTTGTTTGATTCCATGGTCCTTGCATGATAGACCCCTAAACCTTTTCCCACCGCAGGCTTGCAGCAGACTTGCAACCACACTGACTGTCAGAGTGCAAGCATTGTTCAACCATACAGTTCTTGCCGACCTTTTCGCCATGCCGTTCCCTCACCTTCCTTCTCATCGTGGGAATTGAGTTAACAGCAAACCAATGTCAGAGTGTGTTGTTTTTTGTTGTTGCTGTTGCTGTTGCTGCTGCTGTTGCTGTTGTTGTCGTTGTCGTTGTCGTTGTCGTCGTTGTGGTTGTTGTTGTTGTCGTCGTTTTTTGTTTGCGGGCTTCATTGAGTTGAATATTTGGTATTTGATTCATGTCGTCCAACCGTTTGCAGTGCCAGAACAGACTTGGTGCACCTTGGTTCCTCCGATTATTCCTCCGATGACTTCCCGTACTTCTTTCTGCACTGTACTGCTGTTCCTCAGCTCCCTTACTGTAAGTCCTGTGTTGTTTTCTGTTTGTTCCCTCTATGCAGCTAAGGAGAATAGGAGAGACATGAGTCATAAGACACGAAAAATGGTTGGAGCACTTCGAATGAAACAGACAATGCATAATCTAAAACGTGATGAACATGTAATGCAATGTGATGTAATGTATTCGTGAGTTGTTTTTTCATATTGGGGAGAATTAGGTATGGGCCGGGTTATTCTATCGATGTACTTTAAAGGTTTGTTGTGTCCTGTCCTGTACTGATTGAATTTGCTGAAGGTGACTTTGAACAGCTTCTTGTTGCAGGCGGGGAGGAATGAAAGGGGACCACGTCGGTACCGTGTTAGCAAGGGAACTTCTCAACTATATAATAAGTTCAGCACATGTTTTTCCACGTACGCAGTCACGAACTGCGATGACTTGTGAATATGTATATATAGTATGTAATATTGTGAACTTGTCCCAGAAAGAACTGAGCCGCAGGCTACGAGAGTTTCAACATTCCAACAGTCAAGATCAATGATTGCGTATGACGATTGAATTTCCCAAATCCAAGTCTTATGATAAAATCTGACCATATCTTATTTTCTCATCAAAGATCATCAAAACCACACACGTCATGACCAACCCTCGGGTCTTTCACCATGGTCGCCTGGCGCATTCGTCTTTCAAAATAAAGGTCGCTTCCCTGCGGCGAACTTTGTCGTGGGACCACGGAGCCCTCTCTTTGGGAGAGATCCTGAGAGGACTTGTCAGACCACCAACGTGCAGCGTGAGAAGTCTTCCCTCCAACGAAGCAATAGAAAGGTGCACAACGGAGCACCTGAGAATCTGAGAAGAGATGATCATTCTCTCCAGGAAGATTTGATCCAACCAGATGAACTTCAACCGCGTAGTTTCTCCAAGACTGGGGTCACATTCCTCCTTGCACCAGCCCAGCTGCCAAGCCCTGAGCCCCAAATTATATAAGCTCTTTCCGTCCAGGAGGTTTCCCCTGCCCAGGTGCTGGCGAGCTGCAAGCGGACCTCGCCCTGTGCACGTCCGTCAGGCGCGACATGGAGAGCACGGAGCTTGACGTTGGAGGCTTCGTGCGGGGCCTGCAGAGTCCACGAATTCTTGGGTCGCACCTTGTTTGGTCAGGTGAGCTGTAGGGTAAAAGATGTAAAAGTGGGAAGTCAGGTGACTGGAGAAGCCGTTTGCAACATCCTGCAACAATAAACCTTACATCTATACAATGATACATAATATACATCCTGCTTATTTGGCAAAAAACATAAGAACACAAGAGCTTGTGACGTTTAACATGTTTTGACACACTCAAACGTATCCTAACCTGACGGGTCCATGGCATCGGTGGTAAGAGGCTGGTGGGAAGGCCAGTGGCGCTGACTGTCGCCCACACGGAGTCGTCTTCATGGATGGGACTTGTGCCAAAGTTGGGCCTACAAGAGGTTTGATCTCAAGTTCTGCACAAAGAACACCATGACATGAGAGCACCATGACAGCTATGACATGGCCATGACATGAGACATGAGAGATACAATGAAGATCGCAAAACCACGCCAATGGCGGTGCAGACACCTTCCAATCTACTCTGAGCAGACTCGACGCACAAACTGTGAGAGTCAATCGTTGGGGCGAATCCAATTCCCCGTATGTCGTGCACGGCAGCTGGTGAGGGCGCATGACATTGCTTCATGAGCTTCAAGCGGTTTCAATCGAACATCAATGTTTTCCCTGGGGAGAATACGATTTGATGTTGATCTCGGGTCGCCTGAACTCAGGACACGTCGCAGGACTCGCCGCCTCACGCTGACCGATGGCAGGCATGATATGCTCACGCTGTTGCATGGCATCCATGCGCGAAGTCATATGGCCATGTGCAGCTCAGACGCACCCGTGGACTGTCGGAGAGGTCTTTTGTGGATGGAGAACGATATAGAACGACCTACCACTCGGTCTATGTGAGTATGTGAGTTGAGTAGAGGAGTTGCCGGATAATTTTGGTTTGGTGCATGGCAGCTGTGCATGTCTTTCGGAGCTCTAGCAAAAAAGTGCATGTCCATCGCTGAAGACGCTGAACAAATTAGGGGGAGTCGTTCTTAAACACTTGCCCTTGTTTGGCGGTTTGATAGGGATTGGACAGATATGGCATGCTATATACTATAGTTTAATATAATTTACATATACATATAATGATATCGCAGGATTGGTATTTGCTACCCTGAAATCGATGGGGATGGGATAGTTATAGCCATGTGTTTGGCAACTGTGAGTGAAGGATGGGGATGGGAAGCCGATACACATTTTCAGTGTTTGGAGTTGTTTGGAGAGCTGAAAGGGTTTGACTGGGAGCTTTAAGATCATATTATACATCCCCTAAATGTCAGATGAACTCAGTTCGATGAAACTCAGTCCATTCGCACCCTTTCTTTGGTTTCAAAGCACTTGTGAGACGAAACTCTATCTCCTCAGCCGTCCTTGGCGTCGGCCGAAGGCTATGACTATCAGGTGCCTTACGGCCCATGGGGCGTGCGAGAGGCGGAGGCAGGCAGCGCGACTGATGAACATGCAAGCGCTTCAGATGACATCCAACACACACTCTGCATTATATATAATATCATCATGCACAAACAGTAGAATATATACATTATTACATTAAGTATACATATAGTATATATTATATTTAGGCACAGTCTCATGATAGCATAGGATGGCTTGCACGTGTCCATTGTTTTGTGTTTGTTTTTCCGTGTTGGGGAACCCTTCTGCAAAATCTACGATTGATCCTTTGCAGGTCCCTCAAACCAAGTACTGCTCAAATAAAAATCTAGATGTATTTGAACGGACAGCCAATTTGGTGCATGTGTCCATCTATAGTCTACATTACAGTGCTAGCACTGTACACAAATTTGGCGTGGTTTGCTAGAGGTTTCGGATTCTTAAGCAGCCATTTGTGGTACAACATGGTACAGTACATAATGCATTTCAGCTTTGTGCAGCTGGGATTGAACAGTTGACTTTCAGGATCTATAAGTGCCTATGTTTGCTGTCGCTGTGGATTGTTCAGACTTTTCCTTGCTTCCCATTTTCCTGCACCAACAGCCGTCACGACCTGAATGGTTGACATCAACAGCCTTGAAGCCAGTCTTGAAGCCATATATTTGGATGCCGAAAAGGAAACATGGACCACCTTGAAACACAGCATGACATGCCTCTCACTGTTTCCAGCACCTGAGCCAAAAGACGACATAGATCAGTTTCCAAGCCGGGACGGAGGGGATTTGCAGATTCGATTCTGGTCAGACACCCTGATCCTAGTCAAGAAATCGCTAACAATGAGAAAGGAGCAGGAGTTACAAAGGGATGCTTAGTGGAGGTGAGGGTGCCCATTATCACTTAGAGAGTAAACACCACCCCTTTGTAACTCCTGGGAAATAATACTAGATTTCCGGCCCCGTTGAGGGCATTGCTTTTTCAAAGGTTGATTGTCCATTGCCTCTTTTGCCGAAATTCAGTCAAAGTAAGGCATTGTGACACCGCTCAAGTTTCTCTCGTATATTGAGGTCAATTATGTTGGCTCATGTAGCTCACAAAACAAGGTAGGGGCTACAGCAGGAACAACTGAAAAGGTTTTTAGTTTGGAGGGTCCAGCATCCAAAAAGCATCCCTTCACAACCGTTTGTCTTTCTCACCCGGACAGGAACCTAGAAGCATCATGAAAGCGTAAAACAAGTCCTGTAACCCTTTACTTCACCTCACCATCACCCAAAACAAAGAAATCAAACAGGGACATCCATGGACCACCACCAGTCCAGGGTGCTACATCCGAACAGGCCTTGCGCTACGAGAGCCACCTGCGACTCCTTGGGAAAACCGTGTTGCTCTGTACCTCCAGGCGGCCCGATCAGGGCCGTTCCCTGTCGTGGCGAGCCCCACGCCGGCTCCGCGGGTTTCGGTGATACAAGACCGGTCTCCACCCTCGGTGTCGCCGGTGATGGTCTGAGATGCTGAGAAGGGGGTTCAGTGGGAGATGAGAGCGAAAAGGGGTTTGGGGGTTTGGTTGGTTGGTTTACTGTAGTTTGAAGATCATGGATACTTCTCACATGATTTCGTTGATCACGATCTCATTCGGTGCTTCATCTCTGGAGAGGTGGGAGAGGATTCACAGATTCAGACCTATCCTTTGTAATCACAATTAAGGTCGGGAGTAGTTCTTTTCATCAGATTGGGAATTGGCAGGTCAAAATGATGGGCTAGATTGCTATCGGGAAGGCACTAATGTACAATATACAATGATTGCCAACGAAAAGGACACGTGAAGCTAAGGTATGTGGATATGTGGCAATGTCGCTCAACAAGGGTAGAGAAGAACAGACTAAGCCTATACTTTTCAATATCCCCCCGCGGCCCAGCGGCCTTTTTAGTTTTTGGATCTAGGATGGGAAAACCTCTATCCAATTCTAAGAGGCTATAGAGAACCCACATCCATCAAGAACCAACCATGTGGAATAGCTCCTGCAAGCAAGGCCAATTCGTTCTTTTACCATAGAAGCTGGAGAATGCAGTGCTGCCAATTGAATGCACTCAGCTTAGAGAACTTATGGATGTGAAATTGTCTCAAATGTGCCATGTGCCCATGGATTTCATTGCGGCTACCATCCGGCTGGGGTACCGGGAAGAAGGCACCGCGTTGGCAGTTCCAAAACGTGTTGGACCCTTGTGAATCACGTCGCTTTCGACCAACGTGTACGAGGCATTTGGCGGAGTACGTGAAGCGCTGGTCCAAGGGCACTGTAGAGACGCGGCTTTGTGCCTTGGAAGACTATGAAACTGGAGGCCTCCAGTGGACCCGTTGGTTCTTTGAGGATTGGTCATGTCGAGGTCTTAAGACTGATCTCAGACTGGAACCACTGATGACCTGTATACGTTCTTTTGCAGTTCTGCGGGCATTTTATACCAGTAAAACATGCTTTTTGTTGCACTTGTGGAATTGACTCCCAGACTGCAGACATGGACTTGGACCTGAATCCCATTTTTTGCACAGTCTCTTTCAACGTCAAAAACCACGATGAATCAGTGCTGATCAGCTGATCGTCCGAGGTTACTGTGCAGACTATGGTTACTTTGATCGTTTTCTCGCTGCTCCTCCAGCTCGAGGCCGCGACCTGCGGCGACGCGACCCCTTCGCACCGTCCGTTTGCGTTCGGAACCAGAACGACGGACGTGTGTGTCGTGAAACCGTTCCTTCCGCCTGGGCGCTCGCGCACGCGGGGGAGCGGCTCCGTATCTGCAGCAGATGTCGAAATGAGGTCAACCCTGTCAGCAAGCGCCTCCAATGCCATCAACACATATCAACACCATCCAAGCCGACCATTGTTGAGATGACTGGGTAGACTGGTCTCTGCGGGTCTGGAGGTACTGTTTTGTGTTTCTAATATAGCTTCTTGTTACTACTAGTAAGGCACTTGTTACTAGAAGCGATGCACTTGT